TGCCTTCAAATTGTTTTATAGATTGACATTCAAGTCGATCTTTTCTTAAAATAATACTTATATTTCAAATGTCTTACAAAACTTATTTATGCTTTTATATTATAAATTGCATGCCCATATATGTATAGACATATAAGTAATGTTTAAAGGGCTTAGGAAGTCCATCCGCCCTATTTCCTTTTCGCGCACTGAGATGTGGTCTGGTGGGACTTCGGGTGACCATCCGAAGGTCGTTTCAATATTAGTTATATATCATATATACATGTATAGACATAAAAGTACTTCCATATTCATACTTATCAGTACATCAATAACTAGTTACCATCGGGGTAACATCGAACATATACAATTATACTAGAAACAGTACATATACAACTATACTAGAAACAGTACGTATACAACTATACTAGAAACAGTACATATACAACTATACTAGAAACAATACATATACAACTATACTAGAAACAGAACATATACAACTATACTAGAACGAGAAACATTACATATACATGAACACGTTAACAATTGTGATCCACTGTATCGGAGCATGCCTTAAATGTCATGGCCCGAGTTGTAGCCAGAATTCTCTTGGAGGGAGAGCGTGAGTTTGCATATAGATCTATACTGGATTGACTATCCTACACCTTGCTGCTAGCTACAGCCGGACCTGCAGGTCTGCGGGTGCCAAACGTCATTCCGTTATTATGACCATTCATTATGTCGTTGTTACCAGTCTATAGTATGGTGCAATTTATCACAAAATGCCTTAATATAAATCCGGTTTAAGGTAGTTAGTACAATTGTAGTTCTTATAATATAAGACTACAGTACTACAAATGATTTACCCATTACATATTTTAGTGATAACCTCACTTAAACGTTAATGTACAAACTATATTTTTAAATGATAGTTACACTTGGAAATTACACACTTTTACATCAAACGAACGTACAGAACAGTTAAGCCTTGGTAGAAGGTTACTTTAATAGAAATATAGGTTTTTCTGAGACATTCAGACTTTTACAAACATTTTCCAACACTTACTTACATTTTTACA